AGTAAGGGTTACACAACATTGTGAATGTACTTAATGCTATGAATTGTACAGTTAAAATGGTTAAAATGGCAAATTTCATGTTAGGTGTGTGTGTGTATATTTTTTTCAAACTACAGTTTAAAATAATTGTTTTAAGCCTCCTAAAATAATAACAGACAGAGCCGAGGGGGAAAAATGGAGGGGAAGGATGGGAGAGGGATGTGGAGAAAGAGTAGGGACATAGAGAGTTGCCAAAGGGAATGGGATTTGGGTGAAGGAGAAAAACTTTTCAAGAGGATTTTTAGAAAGTTCGCTGTGGTGGTACCTAGTTGGCTCAGTCGGTTAAGCCTCCGACTCTTGATTTTGGTTCAGGTCATGATGTCAGAGTCATGAGAATGGAGCCCTGCAGTGGGCTCCTCGCTGAGCGTGGAGCCTGCTTAAGATTCTCTCTCGGGGCACCTGGGTGGCTCAGTCAGTTAAGCAGCTACTCTTGATTTTGGCTCAGGTCATGATCTCGGGGTCCTGAGATGGATTCTCCCTCTCCCTCTGCCCCTCCCCTACCCCATGCTCTCTCTCTCTCAAGTAAGTAAATAAATATTTTTTAATAAAAGGATTCTCTCTCCCTCTGCCCCTCCCCTGCACTCCTCCCCCACCCACTCTCTTTCTCTCTAAAAGAAAAAAAGCTTTGTGTGTAGTGTGAGGCATAAGCCATCTCCTCTAAAATCCTTAGCAAAATCCACATTACTCACCAATGGCTTTAGTATTTGATTTGCAGTTTGGGTTTTTTGTTTTTGTTTTTTTTAAAGTGCTGGGATGGATGAGAATGGCCTTGAGGCACCCAGGTATATTTGGATTACAGTCATCTCAGCAGACATTTGCCACTGTGGCTTTTCTCCATTCACCCTCCTCCCGAGCCTCTTGCCTTTACACCACACTGGAGAGCCTCTGGGCCCTGAGTTGTGCTCCACCCCTTCACCTGTCCCCCTCACCTCCACGCAGCATTGTGCATCCAGTGGGATTGTACCCCTTTTCTCCTTGCACTCTTCACTCCCAAAATAGCAGAGGGAGCTGGGCTGCAGCTGGAACCAGCGTTCTGCCCAGTTCCTCCGCAGGTGCCCTCGCTTCCACAGGTAGCCCTGCCATAGCCAGAGCAAAGTCAGAGGCTTCCCTGCGGCCCCCCCACCCCCACCCCCCGCTGCACCCTGACTTGGGGTCCTCCCCAAGTTCCCAGCTTGGCCTGACCTGCTTCAGGACATCTTGGATGAGCTCCTGGTAGACTTCGTGGATGGCCATGCTGAGAGTGTCCCGCCCCACACCTCGAAGACAGCGCCCCGAGTTGAAGAGCTCCAGGAACTGCCAGACGCTGAGCCCTCCGGTGGTCTGGGCTGCCTGGGCTTCCTGGGCCAGCAGCTCCTCTAGCTCACCCAAGCCCACCTCCAAGCTCATGCTGCTGAGCACCTTCTTCAGCAGGTATTCCACCTGGAGGAGCAGGGAGACCTGGGGACTGCAGCAGGCAGTGTTGCCTGTGACGATGCTGGGGTTGGGGGGGGCTCCTCTGGCTCCCAGAGCCTGGGCGGAGGTGACCAAGGACAGGGGGTAGGGGAGCCAGATGACTAAATGTTGGTGGAAACCAGGGTAGATTTGGGGGGCGGGGTCCTGGAGGCCCAATCCCAATTTGGGCATCCCCTTCCCCTCCCCAACTTCCAGGCCCACATCCCACTCCTTCATGCTTTAAATTAAGGGCAGGGTGAAGGTTGAGGGCTGGGGGCCAGGCAGAGGCAGCAAATCACAGAACACGTCAGAGGGGGTGCAAGGGCCCTCTCATCCTTACTTTGCCAATGACCAAACTGAGGCCCAGAGAGGGAAGTGACTCGTTCTAAATCACACAGCAAGTTGGTGGCAGCCAGAACTCGATTCATATCTCCTGAATCCCATCTGAGTCCTTATTCCAAGCCCAAGCCCCAACCCCGAGGATCCTTCCCCTATGGGAGTGCAAAGGGATTGGGGGTGGAGGTAAGCAGGGCAGGGACAGGAAACCTGCTACAGAGGAACAGGAAGTGGTGGTTGGGGTACATCCTGCTGCAGTTTGTTCATACAACATGTTGATCACGGCCGCGAGCAGCCTTCTGGCCTATGAGGGGCCCCCTTACCCTGACGGGCGGGGGTCTGACGAGGGTGCCTGTGCAGATGGACACACGTCCCTTTCCTGCCCCAGCAGCTTCCTGGGACACTCTCTTTAGGACTTTCATTCTGGAGGTTACTGGGTCTCCAACTGGGAGTGGGGTGGGGTACCAGTTCAGGGATTAGGCATCTCCCCTCACTCTTCCCATAAACAGAGGCAAGGAGATAAAGCTGAGTGTGGTTAGATGTGTCAGGACTTCTTGTAAACACAGAGGACCCCCTCCCCTCCACACCCTAAGACCTAAATTCACCCTGGCATCTTTACAGCCACCAAAAGGGCTAACAGGTCAGGAGAAGGCTGAGTGGATGGGGGAGAGAAGTGGAAGTGGCGGGGGGGCACCTGCCCTGGCTTCGTCCATGAGTTGAGGAGGTAGGGGCCTCTACTCCAGGCCTCTACTCCCAGGATGCCCTCTCTGGAGCCCGGAGCTGGGTCTGCCTTTGGCTCTCCTCCATATTATAGAAGACAGGGAGGGAAAATCTAGAACCAGGGCCAGATCTAGTTGCCTCCGCTGGAATAATGGGCCAGGCATCCCAGGAAAGTCTCCCTTCCCCTCATCTGGTAACCTTTTCGGATTGCCACAGTGCCTGAAGTCCTGCCATTTGATCTTAAATGTTTTCATTTTTAAATGGCCGGTAAGGTAGGGCGCCTGAGTGGCTCAGTCGGTTAAGCGACTGCCTTTGGCTCAGGTCATGATCCCAGGGTCCTGGGATCGAGCCCCATATCGGGCTCCCTGCTCTGTGGGGAGCCTGCTTCTCCCTCTCCCCCTCCCCCTGCTTGTGTTCCCTCTCTCGCTGTGTCTCTCTCTGTCAAATAAA